GGTTTGCCCAAGGATGGCTAGTGAAAATATCTGAATTGTGCTTTGCTGTGCTGCACGGTTTGCCCAAGGATGGCTAGTGAAAATAGCTGAATTGTGCTTTGCTATCTAACCTGTTTTTTAAGAAGGTCACTATGCTGGGATGCCCATCCCCCCCCAGAACTTACTCTTCACTCTTGGTCCAGGACTTGCCCGAAAGAGCCTAGGGTGTCAGGAATTCGGTTTGATTTTAGAATTCCAAACCTACTTTGAGGCATTCGAGTGCAGTTAAGGCTGAAGGGGTTTCCTCTAGAGCTGCCCCTTTTGAAATTCATGTTTGATTTCTTCCTTTTTTACCCAGAATAGATGATTTTCTATCAGTAAATTTGCATGAATAAGCCAATTGGGCCAAGCATGGCTGGCCAAAACAATAATCGGTGCCTTTCTGTGGGGTGCAGCTTTTTACGGATTGGCCTTCCGTTCGGTGAATACGCCACTTGAAAAGGCAACGTTTCGACGTGTGGATGGGCCACAAAATTCAAAAACTCAACGTGCAGATGATTACTTTTTAAAAAACCGTACGGATTAAAATATTTCCGTTTGTGCCGGTGGATGGGCAATCTCTTTCAGCCACACGTACAGCTAATAATATATAGTATTGCTCTTTTGACTGCCTAGTAAATTAACTGCATGAAAAACTCTTTGTTAATAAAATGGATTCGGGCCCAGTTCCTTGAGAAGCTTGAGACCATATCAGTCACTTTACTGATGAGAACACCTTTAGTGTCTCTATACTTATGAGGAATCTCGAAGTAGCTACAGATCTCCCTAAGCATTTTCACGGTGAAGGAAGTAAGCTTTTGCTCATCTGTCATCTTGCATTAGTCAAACACATCATAAATCATAGGGTGGGTGATGTCAATATCAGCGAGTACAGCTTTACTAGTCGCTCTTATCTGTTCTTCATCTTCAAGATAAGCATATTCCTCGTCGCTATCATCGTCTTCTTCGCTTTCAACATCATCCTCTGTTTCTTGATTATCTGCTAAAATTCCCTTCTTCGCCTTTGCTGCCATTCTTGAAAAGAAACCCTGTATCTGCGTTTTATTGAGCCATTCGGTTCTCTTAAACAATCTCAAACCATCTGTAGTACACGCGGTTCGCATGGCTTTAGCAACTTGGGCAGGGTCTTCTTTACGTCCAGTGTTTTGTCCGATCTCGAACTTCTTCTGGAGGTAATTTCGAACATTAGGAGAAAAACGTTTCTTGCCACGTTTCTTGTGCAGTGCCCATCCCATAGTATTGGAATACTTGGCATTGGACGCTTTTGACCCTTTGTTTTCAAACATAAGTGGTATAAGTTGTGACGACAGAGACAACGTCTGAAAACGTTGTACCCAGTCTCTTCTTATGTTGTCATAAAGGCTCTCTTTGGTTAGTGCAGGTATACGGTGTCCAATCAAGGCTAGATGAAGATCAAGGTCTGCGCGACTTTCAAATTCCTCTTTGCATCTCGGGTCGGGGCATTCATGCTTAACGACTTCTT